GTTCCCATAAAGCTAAAAAGGATTGTAAAATCCCTAATTAACCGCATAGTCAAAGCTCATCTTTGGTTGATGTATTTTTGGTGCTTTGTACCTACATGTTCCTTCTCTAGCAACTGAATGTGCAATAACCTTGGTCCAATGAGGCTAAAGATTTGCCATTTCAGCATGCCTATTGATTTTCATCTTTATCTCAATTATAGTAAGCCCTATGGTTATCAATGTCAAGATTCATCTTTCCATATATCTTCATAAAATCTGAGAAGTATGATAAAAATATTCAAATAATTGCACAAAATTCAAGTAATTGCCAGGGAGAGTAAATAGAATGAAGCTGCTGAAAGGGAACCCTGGCCTGGTGGGCAGACCCCCCAACAGTACCCTGACTGACACCACCCCATTCTCCCCCCACAATGCCTTTCTTCCAAGTAATGGCCAAATCCCAAAAGCGACCTCTAGTGACCTTCTCACCTTTCTTGTCTTCTCCCCAGAGCCCAGCTCCTCTTGCTCAAAGCCCTTTTGTCTACTGGCCCCAACTGTACCTTCAAAGCAGAGTATATGAGAATTGTCCCATATGACCCTCTAGCCACCTAATCATCTCTTTTTCCACTTTGGGAATGACACTCACTTTCGGAGCCTTCCCAGACTGATCGAAGAAGAGCGGAAGCTTTTGCTCCCTATTTAAAATGGGCTTGAAAAGCACCAAAAAATTTTCCCCACTCTCCATCATCTCTCTACCCAACTTACTATAGATCCCTCCAAGTCCCATCTTTGTTCCTCCAAAATGTACTAGCCCAGGGCCTGCTTCTAGGCTCTTCCCATCCATCTGGGTCTTCAGTTAACACTGTGCTGTGTGGTACCTATGTGGATGCATCCTGATCTCTGAACGGTCTTCAGTTTCAAACTCCATGGCAACAGGGGCACTGGGACCCTTCCTCCCGCTTTCTGTCACGTGCCACGAGCCCAGTGACTCTTCCCTGATAATAATGAGCTAAGGGGACACAGGCCTTCTGGATCTCTCACTGACATGAGCAGCAAATGGAAATATTTATATCAAATATTACCGGGTCCATGACCTGTTGGCAACTGTGGTAACTCATTTTCCCTTTTCCTAAGTGCTACCTTGTTCAGAGCTACTGACTATAGACTGAATTTCTGTCTCAGGCAAAACTACCTCCAACCAAAAGACACTGGATTGTCTGCGCTTGGAGGAAAGCTTTTGATGAACACGGTGGAGCCAGCAAATGCAGAACGACAGAAGAGCCTGAACCCCCAAGGTACCCAATTCCACGACAGAAGCAGAGCATTTCATATCACAGGTTTCCAAAGCTGTAAGGAACCAATTATCCCTCGGAGGTTTCACCAGGATACAGAGTTCCTCTTAGAAACCCCCATTTTCCTCCCAGGCGCAATTCAAAACAGACAGAGGAAAAGAAAACTCGAGGCTGGAAATGTTAAAGATTCTTCCGGCCAGTGTCTTAGGGAAATCCCTGCTGCTGCAGATGGAGCGGCCCCTACTCTCCGCATGCAGACAGGAGATAAGCACTACTTTCCATGTGTTCTCCCCCGCCTCCCCTTGAGGCATTTTCATTATTCTCCACTGGGGATATTCCTTCTGGGAGTCTTTACAGCTGCAGCATGAACTGTGTTCACCTTCGAAAGCAGAGCCACAGAGTTGGCTTTATAAGTGGTGGGTGATAGGAGGTTGGGATTCTGCGATGAGATGGGCTTCATTGCCAAGTGCAGACGGCCAGGAGGCCCCCCTCTCATCCTGTTCCACTTCCATTGAGCTTCCATTGAGAAGCCCAGTGCCGGGCAGCCCATTCATCACTTCCCCCAACAGCCACACGCATGGCTTTGGGGCCTTACCTGTCCACCCCTGGGTTCTGTTCCTCACCTGTCTCAGACCTTCATCCCACCCCCTTGCCAGAGGAGCAAACTTTTGGGAGCCCAGCTGACTTCTTTCTTGAAACTCCTTCTGCTAGTCAAACATAAACGCCGGCCTCTGGAAGCCTTCCCTCCCGCATTTTCCTGCTCAGAGGGGTAGTTCTTCTTTGCTCTGCTTTGGAACCGGCCCATTTTCAGGCAGCACCCAGCCTGGGGCTTTCCAAACCTGAGTCGCTCTTGAACCGCCCTCATGATTTGGCCATAGCCAGGGCTGCCTACACTATTATTCTTTTTATGCTATATTAAAAATGGACCCACTTTTAAAGAGCATTAATGTTTACAAAGGAAACAACAGCAACAGTGTTTGCCATAAATAGAGTGCAACTCAACGATCAACTCACTCGACACAAACAAAATGGTTTGTAAAATCCTAATTAAATAGTGTCCACGGCTGAAGACAGTAAGTGGGAGGCCTGTTCTCTCCTCCTTAAACACGGAAGGCCACCAGGCTTGCAGGAGTGTATGGGACACGGCGCAAACCACGACTCTCCTGGGCACCGTCAGACGCACTAAAGGGAAACAAGGAAGGGAAGCGCTTCCTCACCACACAGGGAATGTAGTTCAATGCCACTGCCTGGACCACCTAAAATGCCTCACATATCAGTGGTGGACAAGCCCACCCATTCCCTCTAAGAAGCGTTGCTGACGCTACTATGTACCTGGTACTTTCTACGTACCTAGGACCTAACACAGTTAAAAATAAAAAAGGCTCTGTGCTCACATGAGACTGAAAACTACACTTTAAATGAACAGTGTCTTAGGAAGCCTTCCCTCCCCGCTAATACCCAACACCAAGGAAAACCCCGATTCAAAACTCTGAAAACCAGGACACAGCCCCTCCCCCACCCAGTCCAGGGACTCAATATTCACCAAGCAGTCTCCCCAATTAAGCTCTCAATAGAAAAATGGCACGTGGTTATTAGCTGTTATAAGTGTCTGGCGTGCTCTGAAAGCAGCATTAACTGCCCAGCAAACCTCAGGGCCTCCTCCGATAAACAAGTCCCCACCCGACTGCCCTTCCCCACCCATACTCAGGGTAGCCCCTGAAGCCAAAAGGCGACTTGACATTTAAAACCTGATCAAAACCACACCAACCCCTGTCTATTTTAAATGTCAACAAGGAAGGCGGCTGGGGTGGCAGGCTTCTCCAAGACTGATCGAAAAACCACTTCTCCGTAGCTGCATTTAAAAATCATCACTAGAGGCAGCAAGAGAAGCGAGTTGAGGACAATGCTGACCTTTGAGTCAAGGGCAGCTGAAGTGATTCACATTTATGACTAATTATCTTTTTTCATCTTTATGTTCCTCTCTCCCAGGGCGGGAGCTCTCTTTCAAGCCGCTGAGGCAGCTGACCCAGCTGAATTCCAGGCTTCTGTGGGGTCTTGCTGTGTCCCCGTTCAGAGCAGCCACTTCCCACTGTGTGTGTGCTCGTGTGCGTGTGTGTGTGTGTGTGTGTGTGTGTGGCGACTGACATTTGTGATTCTCATAGTCACATAAAAGTTTGTTTCCTGAATCGTAAAAAGAAATAAACAGAAGCATGCCTATGTGGTTTTTAGAACCTAAAACCTCTTTAAACTGTCTTAAAAGTACGTTCTCCTTGGATACAGAATACCACCCACCTGAAACCACGATGTCATGGTTTTTTCTGTCCCTTTCCCATTAAAAGAGGTAGATCACACTTTAGAATAAGAAATACAAACATAGAGAAATGTAATGAATACTCACCATTGTCTGACTCTGTGCTGGTTGCCGTTCTCAGCACTTTACAAGTAATAATTTGTTTAGTCCTCACAACAACTCTATAAGGTTAGGTCCAATTTCCTCTGTTTTTACCAAACAGAAAACTAAAACACAGGGAGGCAAAGCAACCTGCTCCAGGTCACACAGCGAGCAAGTGGCTATGGTGGCTGTTGAACCCAGGAAGCCTGAGCCTGAGGGCCATGCTCTGGACCACTCTCATAAGCTGCCCCCGAGATATACTAAGTGCTGAGTGCTTTACACATGTTATTTCACGTAAACCATAGAGCGACCTATAAGGTAGGTCATATTTTTATTCCCATTTTACAGATGAGGAAACGGAGGCACAGAGTGGCGAAGCGCCTTGCCCAAGACCACTGTCAGCCAATCAGCAGGCACGCTGACTGCATTAAGGTGCTACGCACACCTCTCTCCACATGCCCTTGGGCGGAGTCGGGAAGGCAGCTATGTCAGTGCGTTAGAAACCGTCCTCTAACTGAACCTGGAAACTTGACCTCATTTGCCCCATAGCAACAGCGTTTAGGCAGGAGAAATGTCAGATCACCTGACACAATTCTATCTTTAACAGAACAGACCAAAGGGTTTACGGACAAGAAATAACTTGGCTAAAGGGTACACATAAATAACCCAGTTAGGTACCGTATACAAGTATGGGAGGGAATTTCACTAGAAAAGCTGTTTTCAACGTGTGGCTTGGGGGTCCCGTGGGGGATCCCCCCGACCTTTTCCAGATGGTCGAAACTATTTCCTTGATAACACCGGACTCTCATTCCCTCGTGTCCCCCGTGAACATACTGTGGAGTCACCCAGAAACAACACGACACCCAGAATCCCGACAGACTGAACGGGCAGAAGACAGGAGGATTCAGCTGTCTTCCAGGAAGCCACCCAGGGCAGAAAATTGCAAACATCTAAAATCATGCCACTCTTCTATTTTTATTATGCAAGTTATTTTTCATAAAATTGTTCATGCTAAAACATAATGGGTTTATTGTTTGAGTGAATTAAGGCATATTGTCAAATTCCTCAGGTTTACTTTCTAATATGGTGAAGGTAAGTAGAGAGAATCCAAATAGGTATAATTTTTAAGAGAATAAAGGGGTTCTGAGACCAAAAAGCCCAAGACTATAATTTCCGTAAGAGCAGAGACCACACCTGCCTCCCAGGCACAGTAAGAACCTGGGTATGTAATTTTGGATGTTGATCAAATGCCCAGGTGTACAGCATCCACCATCCCGTTAGGTACACGTTCCCACATGCACAATAATGACAGGTGCTCAGACCCCCCCCCAGCTTACCTGGAAATAGTCTGTAATGAACGATCCAAGTTCACTCTTCAGCAGCCGCCTGGGGAAAGAGAAACACTGTCAAGCAGCCCTTGAAGGTGCAGCTCCTGCTGTCCAGGTTACAGAGACGTGACAATGATGAAGGGCTGTCCAATGACAGGGACCAGGGCCAGGCCTCAGAAGGGTGCACTTTCCTTGGCCCTGGTAATACTACGCCGCCCACGTTATCAGAGAATTGGGGTGATGAAAGTCCTACAGAAAGATCCATTCCCTACTTCACAAAGGCAGCCTTCTCAACAAGGCAGCCACTGGAGACCCTAACTAGCAGGCCAGGACCCCTTGCTGCATGGGAAACGAGCCAACCAACCAACAAAAAAACCAAGGAAGAGAAAGACCACAATTTTGCAAGCCCCTACATTTGCAGGCTTTATGGTTTAAAATGCAGTTTTCATGCATTCTTCAACCGAAGATGCAAAAGCATGTGTGTATAGAGAGAGGGCCCATTATTACCCCTCCCATGCGGATGAAGAAGTTGAGGTTCAGAGAAGCCCCCTCAATAAGTCAGTGGCACAGTTAAGATTCAAACCTAGACCTCGTGAAAATTCAACATCTTTTCCCATAATCCCCGCCCTGTCCTTCTCCAAATCCACTGGAGACATTCGACCTGGAGCCATGGTTTGGGGCTGCTCACTGCCCATCCCCGAAGGACTGATGCAGTCCTACAAGGGGACCACAGTGGGTAGGATGGGGCTTATTTATCCCAGCAGCAGCGACTGAGCTGCCCTTTGCATGCTGCAGACGGCTCCGGCCCAGGTGCATGGACATGCACGAGACAGATTCAGTCTCTGCTCTCACGGAGCTTCCATTCTGCAGGGAGGGGTGGGGGGAGGGTAGCACGTTAATAAATACAATCACAAGACAAGTCTAAAGAGTCTTAAGTGCTAAAAAAATTAAAAATAGGGATATTGGCACCAGATTTCCTTCGCCCTGTGACAATTCATGAGACTCTCCCTCCTGCTCTGTCTTTAATTTGATCCAAACCAGGTGAAGGAGCAAAAAAAAAAAAGAAAAACTGGCTCCCAGGCACAGTGAGGTCCCTGGGTCCTGACGACTTCAAATGATTTCAGTTACTCATCCCACCAGCCATGGTTATTAAGGAGGAAACGCTTCTGACTACACCTGCCGGGTAGAACTCCCCCGCCCCCAAACACATTCCCACGTGTAGGATAAATGAAGTTGCAGCGAGATAGCCTTCTGTGCAGAACACAGACACAGAGGGATTGAGGCAGAAGAAAGAGACACCCACCACCTAAACTTCTGTACCGGAAAGAGCCCTGCACAGCTGCGAATATGTGTTGAGCAAGGAAAATACCTTCTTTTTCTCAGAACAGAAAATGTGTCTGTGGCAGATACTGCATTTCGAGATCCAATTTAATGGCAAGTTCCTGAAAGGTCACCCCATCAACAGAACCCAGGGAGTCCCCCGGATGAAGGCAGGTCCGACAGAGACAGACGGCTGCATCGGTCACTGGACCGATAGCAGGTAGGCAGGCCATCAGGGCTGTTTGAGGCTAAAGGAGACTCTTAAGACAAGACACAAACCCAGTGGGCAGCCCCTGATGGAGCTTTGAGACAGGAGGGCAGGCAGGCTGCTTCTGAGGGAAGACATCTCCCAACTGAGTCTTCATGGCCATTCGAAGTCTCCAAACCAGAGGTGAAGAAGCTTCATCAAAATGGGGAAAGACTAGTCTCATTAATGGACTACCCCAAACAGTTTCCCTGGCATATCTTAGTGTTCACGATGCTGAGCAACTAACATGATCCTGAGATTAATGACATGGAATCAATGTCCTCAGGAACCCACGCTGGGAAAACCGCATGTGCTCACGAAGACGCAGCAGGTAAAATGGAGAGAGAAAGAGATCAGAGGCAGGGTAGGCTTCAAGGTCAAGAACCACAGAGCCCCTCCTGGAACAAGGTGGAAGAGGGATCTGCCCAAGTGCAACAATCGTTAACTGAGGCTGAAGGCGATGACTGCCCAGGGACATCTCACAGCGGTGTTCCATCATGGAGTACCCCACTGAGAAACCCAGGAGGTCTCCCCCTACCACCCCTTAGGGATGGCGGAAAGCGTACAGGCCGCAGTGAGGGGGACGGCGTGGCCCCTTACAGAGCAGCCAGGGCTGCAGCAGGCCATGGCCAACCCGGAATTCTGCGGAGTGTCACAGGAAGACAAAGCTGGAGGTAGGAATCAGCTGATAATGAAGCAGACGCTAAGGAGTGAACTTGATGCAACTGCTCAGACAAAGGCTAAGGAGAAAGGACTCTGCAACTAGAAGCAGCCATACCAGGGGTGGCGAGATGGTGATGGGTAAGAATAAAGCGGCAGAACCCAGAGGACTTCCACCACACTGATAATGTTGATCCTTGCTCTTTGCTGAGAAGGGACCAGACACAGGTGTGGGAATCTGCCCTCTATGCTTTAGACACAGTGGACTATAACCAAGTTTGGTAAGAGGACCACACGTTTGTCCTTTTACCAAGTCCCAAGTTCAAAACCTTCACCACTAGGTATCATCACATAGAATTATCTGAACAGAGTTGACCTTATCTGATCATTTAAGTCAACACTCTCTTATCCTGGGAGGGCAAATCAGTAGTCCCCTCTGCCCCTTACAAAGCCTCGTCTTATTTCTGTCTGAGCAGGTTATGGGTTAGACAAGGTCACTTGCATCTGAGTACAGAGCTTTTGCTGCAGCAAACACAGGAATCAGTATAAATGTGCACTACTGAAGCACTTGCAGAAGAACTATGGTTCATTCAGACCCTGGAATTCTGTGCAGCTGGGAGAGAACAAGGGAATGAAGAAGTGCTCTAAGTAATGCTATGAGACAAGATCTAAGTTTCATGAAGTAAAAATACAAATGCAAGACACAGAACAAGAGAAAGATATACATTTTTGTTTACGCGATACCAACACAGTCACCTGTCAAACGGCTTCCACTTGCTATTCTGTAATATCTATGTGATTCGCTTTCCAGGAGGCCCTTGGCACTGAAATATATAGCACCTTGATTTTTAAACACACACAACACATGTGCATTTTAAAAATTATGTATAAATGCACTGGGTTTTGTCTCCTTCTTTTCACCTCCCCAAGTAAGAGGGTGGAGAAGGTTGGAGCTGTTGCTGGAAATTAGGGAGGGCAAGAGAAACCTTAGCAAACTTTATTCCTTGAAGTTAGGAGGCACTGGCTTGCAGACGCCATATCATGTTGTCTGTGGACCTTGTATAAAGGGTCGAGTATCCCCAGCTGCTTTCCAGCAATATTTCTTATATAGACATAAAGAAGTTCTGGAAGACTAACAAAAAACAATTGTTACATTGACATCTTTGGGGTGGGGGGTGGGCAGCAAAGGGAACCGAGTTTCTGGGGTACCTGAAAGGGAGATTCTTCACCGTATAGGTCATTCTATATTTAAAATTGTGTACCTTAGGAACACAATCCTATTCAAAACCATTACACATTTCTTTTGAATTAACAATAACTACCACCAAGGTTACCTGGGCGGCTTAAAGCCAAGAAGAAATTATGGGAGGGAGTTCCCATGAAAGGCACAATGTCAGGAAGCAGGCTGTCCTAGGGGTGTCAGAGAACCCCACAGGCCTGAGAACCTGGTAGCCCAAACCCCCCATGGGCTGGTAACCCAAGAACTTAACTCAGAGAGAGAAGGGGTGAGGAGAGGGCAGAGCTGGCCCAGCCAACCTGGGAACAGACTGCAGCTGAATCATACTGCAAAATCCACTTTCTATTTCTATACCCCGTGTTTATTCTGCTGGCAGTTGGTTTACAAGGAAAAAGCACTTCTGAAAAACTACCTTGGTCTTAGCCAAACTGAGAGAAAGAGGGATTTTCCACCCCTGACTCGATGCACCACCTCCAGGGGGAACTTGGCAGTAGCTTTCCTCCAAAAAAGGGCAGAGCAACTGATAGAGAATGAGGACCCTGCCAGTGAACGCACTGAATCATAACTTTACTGAAAACCCATGATGCATCAGCCATGGTGCCGGAGGGGAAGGATGGAACTTATCTCAGACCGTGATTTCTTCCCATCGGGCCACTCTCTCAAGAGCACCATCTGCAAAAATTGGGGGTCGAAGTGTCTGAGCATTAGAGATGCACAGACCTAAAATCCCAGAGGGACAACTCACCCCGCACGCTTCCTCACTCAGCCAGCCAGTTCAGCCTGCAGAGCGAGAGAACAATAGAGAAGCAGGAGAAAAAGGACAGGACTCACGAGTCTGTGCTTGGTGGTCCCCTAGGTGCACGGAGGTGAAAATCTCGTTTCCAGGACTTACGTTCCTGCCAGCCTCAGGGGCCTTGCATCTCGCAGCCTCCCTTCCATCCTTTCCTCACCTTTCTTCCTTGGGAAACAGGAATGTAAGCCATTCTTGGAGCAAAAATAGATGGCAGACAGACAGATAAATGAGTAAGAAATAAAAACCAAACTGCTCTTCAGACGGGGTCTGGCTGCTCTTCCCCAGTTAAAGTTTACTGAGCACCCTCGAAGTAGTGGGCACCGTGGTCAACGTGGTGCGTGTGTTTCCTCATGTAAGCCTGTAACCGAACTATACCGTTACGGCGGTGTCTCCACGTTTTGTACACAGGGAAACGAGCCCTGTGCCTGCAGCAGAGAGGGGCCTGGTCGACTGCAAGGGTCCGGGGGCAGCTGCCTGGGTCTGAAGGCTGCCTGCTTTTGCTTAGTGGCAGCCTTAAGCAATAAGCTGTGTGGGTTCACCTCCCAGGTGAGCCCCTTGGGCCTGGTCCCTCAACTGAAATTTAGGGACAATGAGGTACCCACTTCACAGGATTGTTGCCACGACTAAAGGAATTTTGCCAAGTCTGAGACGTATATTTTTGCCCAAAGTTTTGAGGGAAAAATAAGGATATGCATTGTACATGGGTAGTAGTAATTCCATCTATATGTGTTTTTAATTGTTTTTATAATTTCTTCTACCTTGTATCTATTCTTCTGTTTCGTAATTATTTGTCACATAAAA